TGGACCACAAACAGTAGCGTGTGTTGTGTTCAGATCCAGAGAACCCACAGTATTCAAGTTAAAAACAAAACTGTGTTCTTGTTGGGTTTTTTTTATCTAGATAATATTTGTCCAAGGGAAGAAATTTTAAAAATTGCGCTGGTTAAAAATCTACTAACCTGCTGATCTCATGGGCATCATGACAAGCTAGTAAAAAAGTGAGAAGATGGAGGAGTGGCAGGGTCAGTGGTTAACACAAACATTAACCAGTTAACCTGCCAGTTAAAGTAATTAAACTTCAGGCAGTATTAGTTTACAATCTGGCATAATCCTGTCAGGAATTAAGTGGAGCTTTGGTGTCACCCAAGATGAACACAATCAGTTCTCTTTAAAGGAGGGGCTCATTAGAAATGTGATCTCTAGATGCATGTTTTTTTTTATTATTGATTTAAAAGTTTCAGTTTTCATACATGTAGTTCTTATGTACATGTTTTTAAATTAAAAAACTCATCATTAATGTCCGCCCTTTGTTGTTTTGTTGTGATATTTCTCTAAACTATTTTGCTGACAAAGTGTCATCTCACTAAGACGTCACACTGACTGAAGACTCCATAACTGCAGCTATCATCACGTGTGATGGGATTGAAAACTAAACTCTAAAATGACTGGATTTGCAGGTTAAGAAAGCTCTGGGGCTTTCTGACTCCTGCGTCACAGTCATTACTGACCCTAGGATCCCCTTACCATTAAGCCACTCACTACCGTCTGTTCCTTGGCTGAGGATTGGAACTGAGGCTTTGGTCCTGGTTAAGCAGAGAAGACTGGGAAATGTCTCAGTAGGATCTCCACTGCTACATCACCCAAGGCCACCTTCATCTTCATCTTCTGAGGACATCATCTTTGCGCTTCTACCAAAAGAACAACTCCCCCAAACCCACACACAATGGCAGACAAAGACTCTGTGGAGAAGTTTCTCGACAACAATCCTCAGATCGCCAAAGAGTACTACGACAAGAAGGTTAAGCCAGAGGTGATTACAGCGGCGTTCAACAACCAGGTTCAGGTCAAAGATCCATCCTCCTACAGGGATGTATCCACCATCCAGGAGGCCGAGTTCATATTTGAACTCATTAAAGAAATGCAGGGCAGCAACCCGATGGAGAAAGCCCTGCACAAAGTTCTCCAGAGGATTGCTCTCTTGGTGCAGGCCGATCGCTGCAGCTATTTTGGCCACAGGTCTCGCAACGGGACGCCCGAGTTGTCCACCATTCTCTTCGACGTGACACACAATTCTCCTTATGACAAAAATATAGTGAACCCCAATTCAGAGATCGTTTTCCCAACCGACATGGGAATTGTTGGATGGACGGCTCACTGCAAGAAGCCACAGAATGTTCCGGATGTGAAGAAGGTGAGCCACTGAGGTTATCATTCGATTTCCAAAGCCCATTAAGTTGACATTACCACAATTTTGTGGATAGCGTAATTATGACATAACCATAGCGAGATGTCTGTTGTTGTCATGCATTAGCAGTCTGGTTAAGCTATTGTCCAAACTGCACCGCAATTTATTTGTTCTTCACTTTCTAGACTTCAGGTTTTTCTCTAATGTCTGTATTGTTTTCATTTTTTTTACAGGACTCCCATTTCAGTGATTTTGTGGATAAACAGACCAAATACACCACAAAGTGCATGCTCACTGCTCCCATCATGAATGGAAAGGAACCACTAGGTGTCGTCATGGTGCTGAACAAACAAGGTGCTACTGAGTTCTCAAAGAGTGATCAGGAGGTGAGCATTTTTTAAATTCTGAGGTGTGGTTCGTAACAGTTCCTTCCTGACAACAACAATACAGCTATTTAAGTCCATTCGCTTCCTGTCACTGACCTGCATATTTACAAGCTGGACTTCGACCTCTGGGTCACTGTTATGAAAGATGAACATAAATCCCATTAGAGAGTTGGAGCTCAGACATGGTCATCCATCGTTTCCCACGTCGTCCAAATGACATATTTGACTCAGGAAGTCCAAGTCTGATCTGAAAAAAAAAAAATGTGATCGAAGAATCTTTTTTTTTATCTTTGCAGCTCTTCAGCAAATATATGAATTTTGCCACCGTGATTATTCTCCATGGTTTCAATGCATACATGTGGGATGTGGAGTCCAGGAGGAGCCAGGTGATGTGACATGACAACAAAACCATTACTGTAAAAAACAAATGAAATTCAAATATACTCTTAATGTTCTACTTTTTCTCTGGCTCACTCTCTTTTGTCTCTGCTCAGGTGCTGCTGTGGTCAGCCAGCAAAGTCTTTGAAGAGTTAACAGACATTGAGAGGCAGTTTCACAAAGCGCTGTACACAGTCAGGACATACATCAAGTGTGAGAGATACTCTGTAGGACTCCTGGACATGACCAAAGACAAGGTGAGCTGAAACACCAGTCAGAAGATAACAGTTATGTTTACAACAGTGTGTAGTTTGTTGTAAACGTGTTTGTTTTACTTTGTGCAAGGAATTCTTTGATGAGTGGCCGATCAAACTGGGAGAACAAGAGCCATACAAGGGTCCCAAGACACCTGACGGCCGGGTGAGTATATATATATACTGTATATATACTGTATATATACTGTATATTTTTATATATATATATAAATAAATAACATCTTACATTATTACCATAACATTTAGGAAATCAGCTTCTATAAGATCATTGACTACTTGCTGGAGGACAAAGAGGAGATTAAAGTTATTCCGTAAGTGCAGCACTAGACCCTTTGTTTTTATTATCGCCTCTATGTTATGTTTAGTTTGAATTTGTACCTAAATTAATGACTTTTGTTTTAATCCCACAGCGGTCCTCCTGCTGACCACTGGGCTTTGGTCAGTGGACTTCCATCTTATGTGGCTGAGAATGGATTTGTAAGTTCCTTCCTCGTCAATTTTTTGACCAAATAAAATGTGCAAAATTGTTTCCCCCCTTATTTTGGAAACGTTTTGTTGTTTTAGATCTGCAACATGATGAACGCTGGAGCAGACGAGTACTTTGCATTTCAGGTAAGGGAACTTGAACCTCAGATAAACACCGCAGCTCAGCCTCCTTATGTTTCCCTCCATCCCTTTTTGAATCCTTGCTGGTTTTGTTCGATAGAGAGGACCCGTGGACGAGACTGGATGGACGATCAAGAATGTCCTCTCTCTCCCCATCGTCAACAAAAAGGAAGAAATTGTTGGCGTGGCGACATTTTTTAACAGAAACGACGGAAAACCATTCGATGAAAATGACGAACAGATAACAGAAGTGAGTCAAAGTGTCAGGACGAATCACAGCACAGTGAAATAGTTTTATTCTAATTGACTCGTTTGATTTACTTTGACATGCGTGTACCTCCGTGTTCATGTCACTAGGCTCTGACCCAGTTTCTGGGCTGGTCCACTCTGAACAGTGACACATACGACAAACTAAACAGAACAGAGTGGAGTAAGGAGGTGTCCCAGGAAATGCTCATGTACCAGACAAAGGCCACACTGAGTGATGTGCAGACCATCCTGGTAAACTGTCCCCACAGACCACCACTAAAAAAACCCATTCCCAGCAGACTGAGGAACATCAGTAGATCACATGTCCTCTTCACAATGCTTTTCTGCAGAACACTGAGGAGAAGTTCGGCTCTGCTCCAGAAGACTGTGACCAGAAGGAGATGTACAAACTTCTGGTAGGTGCCGTGACATTTGAGCTGGAAAACAACAAGTTGTTTGTTTGCGATGCAACGCAAACTGTTTACACAGTGCGTCCTTTCATGCAGAGAGCCAACATCCCTGAAGCTAAAAATGTGGAGCTGCTGGAGTTCCGCTTCAGTGACTTCCCCCTGTCAGAGTTCGATCTCATCAAGTGTGGAATCCGCTGCTTCTTTGAGCTCGGCGTTGTCGAGAAGTTCAAAGTCCCCGCTGAGGTACAGTTTTCAGTCATGATAATGACAAGTGAACAACGTCTGGAAGAAGGCCACAGACGTGTTTAAACTGTTCTGAGACCTCCAACTTGTGATGATTTTGTCCAAAAATATTTTTAAATAATAACAACTCAATCTGTTTCATGACTTTTCTCGTACAGACTCTGACACGCTGGATGTACACTGTGCGTAAAGGATACCGTGACATCACGTACCACAACTGGAGGCATGGCTTCAATGTCGGACAAACCATGTTCACTCTGCTGCTGGTGAGTGCCCCCTGTGGTCCTACCACTGTCGTTTCACTCGTTTCCACTGCTCTCGGCATAAAACACTGTTGTCTTCTGTCGTTTCACAGACGGGGAAAATTAAGAAATATTACTCGGACCTCGAGGCCTTCGCCATGGTCGCTGCTGGATTCTGTCATGACATTGACCACCGGGGAACCAACAACTTGTACCAGACAAAGTGAGTCGGCTGTGGGTTCTCTCTCTAATATAATTTGTTATTTTCACACTGACAGCCGCTAGAGGGCACTGGTGCAAATTATACTCCGTAGCGACTTATATATGTTTTTTCTTCTTCATTATTCATTTTTTACAGTACAGAAAATACAGTACATCAAAATTCCAAAATTCAACCTTTTGTTTTTTTCCGTGCTGATACTTCGTAGGAGTGCTTCCCCACTGGCAAAACTGCACAGCAGCTCAGTTATGGAGCGCCACCACCTGGAGTACAGCAAGACTCTGATGGAAGATGAGGTCGGTATTTCAGTTTGAATCTCCAGCATTGGTTTAGTTAAGAAAAAAAAACCCAAAAACATCTAATGTTGTTTTTACACTTTTCTCACAGAACCTGAACATTTTCCAAAACCTTCAAAAGCGCCAGTTTGAAACTGTGCAGCATCTGTTTGAGGTTTGCATCATCGCCACCGATCTGGCGCTCTACTTCAAGTAAGTCAGTTAGCTACCACACCTGAGCCTTTGATTATCTAAAAAAGTATTTCTGTAATTATTTGATTTTGGAATTGTTTGGAATTTCAGGAAGAGGACGATGTTTCAGAAAATTGTGGACTCTGTGGAGACGATCACGGAGGAGAAACAGAAAGTTGACTTCATCTCTAACAATCCCACGAGAAAAGAGATAATCATGTAAACACATCACGTTTACTGTTTTGACTCATCATGTTTACGAAGTGAAACTCAGCCACAAATATGATGTGTCTTTGTTTTTTTCATTTCTCCAGGGCCATGATGATGACAGCTTGTGACCTGTCAGCCATTACAAAGCCATGGGAGGTTCAGAGCAAAGTGAGTTTCCTTCATCATCTCTGTGACCTGGTTGGAAAAAAGCATATTTTGAAAACCTGGTTTCGGTTTCCTATTTTTTTTTTTTTTTGCCTTGGTTTAGGTTGCTCTGATGGTGGCAGCAGAGTTTTGGGAGCAGGGAGATCTTGAGAGGACTGTTCTTGATCAGCAGCCAATTGTAATAAAACCTTTCTAATTTTCTCATCATTAAGTATGGTGATAAGAATAAAATTAAAATATTTTCTCTCTCAGCCCATGATGGACCGAAACCACGCTGAAGAGCTTCCCAAAATGCAGTGCGGTTTCATTGATTTTGTCTGCTCCTTTGTCTACAAGGTGCCAACATAGTCGCTCCAAATTACATTTCTGTCAACACTTTCCCAGACACTGACGTTCAGCCTCTTCACTTTGAAGTGTTTTTGTCTACCACTCACCCTCTTTAGGAGTTTTCACGTTTCCACACGGAGATCAAGCCGATGTTTGACGGTCTGAATAACAACAGGGGAGAGTGGAAGGCACTGGCTGACGTCCACGAAGCCAAGATGAAGGCCATAGAAGATGAGAAGAAGAGGCTGGAGGGAGGAAATGAACCAGGTGAGCTTCAAATGTATAGTTGTTCTGAATTTATATCATCATCATCATCATCATCATCATCATGAATATTCACGTCTCATCTTTAATTGTGCGTGGTTCTTTCACAGCAGAGGGCGGAAAATCAAAGACCTGCGTGATCTCGTAGACCTCCACGACAAAGGGACACAAGACGTTTGTCTGCATGTATCTAATGTAATGTGTATGCAAACTTATGTACGCAACACATCCTCTAAAAGTCATTATTTTTATATTGTAAAATATATAGTTTGCATGTCACAATGTACAAGTATAAATACACACACATACACATTTACACATCTGATTAATGACATAAATAATGACACATATACATATACTGTATGCATGTGTCTATATGTGTGTATATAAATATATATACATATATATAAACATAAGGGTCATGTATTTGTCTTATCTTTCTCCTGGTTAAATACTGTATCTTATCGTTTTTGCTGTGATTAATAAAGAATGAATTTAAAGTATGCATATTTAGCTGCCATTCTTTATCTTAGGGCGGATAGATAATATATTTTTATGAGTAGAGTGTAGCCTTTAATCAGCAGACACACACCTATTTCTTTTTTATTGTGAAATGTTTGAAAAGATATTTCAAACATATTCCCTGCACAACTGGGTGTGAGACATAAGACGATTTGACAGAATTGGATTCAGTCATAAGCCACTGAGCTTTGCTTTCCTTTTTTAAGTTGCCTGCTTACATAAAGTAAAAGTAGTGATAATAAGTCAGCAGGTCCAGGGAACATGTGGTCGGAGCCATAGTAAACACACTGTGAGCAGGAAATGACTTTGTTTGAACGTTAAACTAAATATTCACTGGGATTATGTCGTTGTTTTGTGTTTCCACCGTCCTGTCTGACAGATATTTTTGTAAACAGAGCCTGCAGTGTGGGGCACTTTAGCGGGGCAATAATGGACTGTAAACACCACGAGGTACCGCAGAGAAACATCTCCACAGTCTTGTGGAGCCGAGATTTAAAATGCTTGACAGTGAAATGCGCAGTAGCATCGAGTGTAACGTTTGAAAAAGTACGATTAAAGTTCATTTTCAAATCACGTCTGCTCTTGGAATTCAACTTTTGCCTCATTTTCTTAGTTTGGAGTTTCTAATAGGAGGGTGTTAGAAATGATCACCTTGAAGGTCAGCTAAAGAGGGTCAGGTGACCAAGGATGACCTTTCAATCACCTGTTAATGGGATTATAAATGACCTCTGTCACAGGTGCAGCTTTAAACCGTTGTCAGGTGAATGAATATGAATCAAAGCCTTGTCACCCATGGTGATGTGAGGTGGACCGTCAGCTGACTTCTCATCAAGTGCTCTATGTTGACCTTTGACCTCTGAGCATGTATGTTTTTCAGGTGTTAAACAGCTGTGTTGTGTGGTGCGTCATGAGGGAATATCCCATGAAGGTAAAGCTCTTACAGTCTCCCTGCTGCTAATGCACAAACTATTACTGTGCATTACTGTCAGACTTAATGTTCAGAGCTGGTGCTCTACAACTTCTGTCTTTTAATAGACAAAAAAATGGTAGTACTACAGAGTTACATACTTAAAACAAACATTCTTATGCACTGATCACAGTCATCTGACTCTGTGTGGTCCTTTACCCATCATCCCTCTCTGCCCACAGATGAGTCATACAGCAACTAAAGAGCATCTTGGTTTTGAAACTCTGCAGACGCGTCATAAGATGTTAAGCCAGCTTTGTGCACCGAGAGTCGCATCACTCTAAAGGTTACGTTTATTTACAGGTCACAATACACAGGAGCCAGGTTTGTTTTGTTTTGTTTTCTAATAATGCGTCACCACTGAGATAATCATGCTGATTCCTGATTGACCATTGATGAATATGGGAGCCAGGTTTGTTTTGTTTTGATAATTCCAATTGAATCATTAAATAATTGTCACAAATACAAGTCTAGAACACTGAAAATCCTCACCAACAGCAGGACATTTATAATTGTAAATCAATAACTTTTACAGCATTTCAGAGCAAACATCACTGTAAAACTCAGCAAAAGTTAAGTTTTTGTAATTTGTGTAGAATGAAACAGTGCAGTAAATTAAAAAAAACACTCTGAATTGCCTGGAAAGTTTAAAAAAAAAAATCTTAATTTCATGTCAGAACACCCAGGGCTATCTTTTGGTTGTACAGTATCACCTTTGTTGCAAAGTTAAATTAAATATCCAAATACAGGATTTTGACATGTTTCATTCCTCAGAGGAGATGCAAAATAGTAATAAATAATTATAACAGATTATTTTTTTGCTTTTTAAACAAACGTTTAAACATTTTATCATAACAAACATAACAAGCCTCAGCTCCTCATCTCCCTCTAGTGGACTGTTCAGACCACTTGACAGGGACTTTCTGCACATACCATACCAAAAAGTATGTTTCCTTAGTCTGAATTTCGTAGAGGTAGGATACTCTAACGCAACAACAACAACAACAACATAACACAAACTAAAATTCCCTTTTTAAAACGTTTATATTGATTATTTGGAAATGCAGCGAGGTCCCAGAGTATCAATGTGGCCGAATAGTTTCTGGAGTACAGTGTGTGTACTATTCTACTGATGAATGATGGCATTTATGAAGCACAGACACTTCTTCGACTTCTCACAGCGCAACAATAAAATCCAGTGTTCTGCCTTTATTTAGAGAGTGGTAAAACGGAGCGTTTGTACTTTCTTTTCCGTCCAAAATCTGCATATCACATTTCTCCTCTCATGGTAAACAAGCTTCTGTGGTTTCTCTCTCACACATCTCCTTCCTCTCACACTTTCAACCTGTGTCTCTTACTGCCTTGATTTTAAAAACATGGGGAAAATTATATGAACGTTGCCCCGTATACAACAGTACAGTGGAGTAATCCTCCGTTTAACGGTGTCCTGCACATGTTTCTTCCCAGAAGAGCTGTGACGCACACAGGCCTGCCAGGCACAGAGAGCAAACATATCAATCTGACAAGTCTGCAGGGTTCTGGGGAATTAGACTGTAAAGAAGACACGGCCGTAGAAGAAGGAAGACCTTGTAGGGCTCCTGGAGGAGCCGGCCGCGCCGTCTTGCAAAAGACAAGAGAACGGTGGAATAAAAGTGTTTTGAAGATGTCCAAACTTTGACCTTGGTTTAATGATCTGAAGTGATTAGAGAGAAGAGTACTCCCACAGTAATAGTATGTACTACACAAAAGTATTTGGGCAAAGAAGTGGGGCTAGAGTCGTGCAGCTGCAGGACTCCTACCTGCCACTAGAGGGCTCGGGGTTGGACTAGTGCTGTGGCCACAGGTGATGAAGGGACGAGCTGAATGTGATACTTTCAGCCCCCTGTACAGTATATTAACAATTAATGAATTATTAAAAAGTAATCATTTCAATCCCAATTTAATTTACTTTAGTTGTTAGTGTGACAATATTACATTCTCATCAACTATCATCAGGTGAACAACTTTATAAAATGGTTTATAAATCTGTATCTAACAAAAGCTGAGAAATGATGTATAAAATGGTTTATAAATCTGTATCTAGCGAAAGCTGAGAGATGATGAAAAAAAAACCAAACAAATAGATAAATTAAAAAATATAAAATAATCAAAAATATTACACTATTTTAGGTGAAAATACTGGTGAAAATTTTAAAGTGAATTTTTCAAATACTAATCTACTAGTAGTAATTTTTCAAATTTATATTTATTTGAATTTTCTAAAGCTAGATGATAAATAAAAAAAATAATGTTCAATGCCTGGATGATAAACAAACCAGATCTGATATTTTCATGGATGATCAGAGTTTTCCTGTTGGACCAGCAGGAAGTCTGAAGATTTTAATTTGTTCCCCTACGTGTTTGGACAAGAACACTGAGGTGAGACACTCAACAGACACGACAGGTAGAACTTCAACACCACAGGCTGCCAAATCATACAGGGTGTAGAGCGAGAGGAACTGAAGTCAGAGGAGATGGAAGACGTTCGTCTCCGCTGTGGTTTCATTCTGAGAATGATGTCATGGAGAAATCAGGACAGGTCCAAGGAGACCTGATTAAACTGCTCTCTCTCTCTCTCTCTGTGTGTGTGTGTGTGTGTGTGTGAGTGAGAGAGAGGAGGGTAAATGGGGGAAGGGTTTCAATGTGACCGAGGCAGAGCAGATGTCAGGATGACAGAGGGCTTCCCCACACACCCCTCCACCATGGGACAGGAACGTGCTGCATCCTCCAGTTGCCATGGGAACCGGAAACAAACCAGGAAATGCAGCCAAAACCACTGAGGCTGGAACTGGGCGGCCAGCACTGCAGTCATTTATGTCCATCGGTATATATCAATATAACATGAGACACTGCTCTGGAGTGGTCAGCTCAGTCAGCTGCATCACGGCTGGACTTCACCTTGTTTTCCAGCTGATTCACGAATAATATATATATACATATTTATATTTTTAATTACGCAGTTGTGTGGCCTGTTGGGCGGGATCCTCCAGAAGCCCCAGCTGGGGGAAAGTGCAGCGTTCGTTGAACACAGGCCTCCCTTCAATGGGCGTGGTTTTTGGATGAAGATGCTCCGTCTGCTCCCGCTGGGACACCCACCTGCCCGCAGAGCCCGTCTGTCACGGCGCCACTTTCTCCTTTTCATTCGCCTCTGCCTCCATAACGATCATTTGAAAATTTCAGGAACATTTCAGGCACAGAGTTCTGGCGCAGAACACGCAGCAGCTTCACGTCGTGGTTGGAAATTGACGGAGATAAACAAGAGGTGGCAGCGCCTCGTTTGACCAACAGGGAGCAGCAAACGCAGCAGCAGCAGCAGCAGTCACACCAAAACGAAAAGCAACAACCACTCTTCCAGCAGCAGCAGCAGCGGCGGCAGCAGCAGCAGCAGCAGCAGCGGGGGAACCAGAGCGCAGAGCCCGGCTCCTGTGTTGGGCTGTTCGCCGTGTCCACATCGGTTCGCAGGAATGGAACATTCAGGCAGGATGCGCAGCAGATCGCCCTGGCTCACTTTGCTGCTGCTGGCCTGTGTGGTTCTGCTGGGGGAGAGCAGGAAAGCCAAGCCGCCGCGCTGTCCCTCCTCCTGTATATGCACCAAAGATAACGCGCTGTGCGAGAGAACAGGGCTCATCCCTCGCAGCTTCCCCTCGGATGTCATATCACTGTGAGTCACATTCCGCTCTGCACACAGATGCATGTTTTTTTGACTGCACGTCCAAACATGGAGTTTATTTTCTGTCTTCTTTCTTTTTTTACAGATCCTTTGTCAAGTCTGAATTCACTGAAATCCCCAAAGAGAGCTTCATCCACACTCCTGCTCTGCACCTCCTGTGAGAATCTCTCCTTTACTGGCGTTTCAGTCTATATTGCATGCTGTCATTCCTCATTTGGCTCATCAACGCCATTTTTAATGTTCCAGAAGATGTCTCCCATTAATAATGCCCACAGAATGGTATTTTACAGAAAAAAGCGTTGTTGATCCATGTCCTCTCCTGGTACGATTATAAATCTGTAAACATGATCAGAATGATCATCCCTTTTTTTTCTGGGGAATCCCTTCTTTGGATGAGGGAATCCCCCCCGTCTTCCATGTCATATGGGGGGGAAACGGACTGAGTCACCGTGTCCTTTAGAACCCACACAAACAGCAGAAATACTGGAGGAACAATCGTGTATTTGGTTAATCTCACCTACAAAAACAAGGCTGTGCGGCTGTGGGACGGCAGCCTGTGATCACCTCATTTGTAACTCACTGTGATTAAGCTGTAACTGAGGCTCTCTGTCTGCACAGCCTCTTCACAGCCAACAACCTGGAATCAATAAACGAAGACGCTTTCCTTGGGCTTCCTCATCTGGAATATCTGTGAGTACTGCACATACATTCATAAAGTTCTGTCTATCTATCTATCTACAGTACTTCATACAGTTCCTGTACTACAGACCACATTCTTCACCTATTCCTTACATTCCTCACATGTCGTCCACCCACAGGTTCATAGAGAACAACCAAATCAAGTCCATATCACCCAACGCCTTCCGCGGTCTGAAAACCCTGATACATCTGTGAGTATGTTACCAAACTGCCAAAGTAAATGTTAAAGGTACATTTTCACTGTTATCACCTTGGAGAAGAGATCGTTCACCCTGTAGCCAATACGGTGAAAGAGTGGTTATTGGCCTTGCCTTACAGCAAACAGATCACAGGTTTGATTCCTTGGCGTCTGATGAACTTTCTGTATGGACTCTGCATTGGTTTTCTAAGGTTGTGAATAGTGTGAATGGTCTACATACATGTGGTCCAGCACTGCAGTGGTAAACTGTCCAGGGTGTATCTGCCCTCGGCCTGATGGGATTGGTACGATGGATGGATGAACGTTCCCCTACTGTTTACTCAAATAAATACTTAAACTCCCCAGCAGGGGCTGCTGTATTTACAGTTAAAACAGCCAATCAAACTTAATTGGTAAAACAAAATATGACGGTTTTCTTTGTGTCACATTTTCACATCTGCCCAACGAGGAAGGAGCTTTGACATCATGAGACTCATGATGATTTGTCAGTTGATGGGTTGAACCGCCCTAATAGAAAACACACTTCTCTCACAGTTCTCTCATCACATTTCTCTGATTTTGTTGCTGAGAAAACCATAAAGTCACTGAGGAGGTAGGTCTAAAAATAGTTTAATGGTCCTTTTTTTGATCTTAAAATCAGCAGTGTTCCTGCCTTCACTCTCCTGGGTGGTGATGCAGTACTGCATGTGCCCAGGCCCCTCAACACATAATCATATTTTCCACTGCGAAAAAAAACAAACACGAGAAACAACATCCACTATTAAATTTCACGAGCGCAGTGTTTTTTTTTTTTTTTTGTCTTGTAAATGAACACATAAAAATAAAAGTAGAGTATGTGTACTGCTGCAGTATTTTTTATTTAAACCCCCCCCCCCCCCCCCCCCCCTCCCTCTTTGTCATACAGGAGTCTGGCCTACAACAACCTGGAGACCCTGCCCAAAGATCTGTTCAAAGGTCTTGAGGCCTTGACCAAAATGTAAGTCTTACCTTAAATGTGATTTCTTCTGGAAACAAAATTGTTTCTGCACACCTCTGTGCCTGGTGCACATGTTTGTTCTCCTGCCTTAAATGAAAGAGAAACAAAGTTCAGTCAGATTTCTGTTACTTTTTCTTTTTGTTTTTCCTATGATTGCTGTTCACACAAATGTCTTTGTGTTTTTCTAAAAGCTAATCTGTGAAAGTTAACTGAAAATCACATTTATAGGGAATTGTTCTATACTCAGGCTCTGTAATAACACAGGGCTGCATTTCAGTAAAGGATCATAAGTGAATCATTTAGTGAATTCATATCGATAGCTGTGTTTGCCTAACATTAATAGATTTTTTTTATGCAGGGTTTTATGAGTCATACTAGAAAAATGATTGGATGGAAAATTAAAAAAGACGTCCAAAGACACACTGTACTCCATCATGGACAATGAGTTTTCTCCACCAGCTCAAGGCTATAAATAGAAACCTGAATCATTATTCCACTTCAGTAGGGCCTTGAAAAATGTGTGGGTGCTTTTAACAACATTAAAATTACATGCGGCGGTGAAGGAGCCTTTCAGCTGCTGGAGGTGGTCGAAGCTTTGGGTTTCAGGATGATGGTACAAGGGTCAGAGAGTGAAGTCGTGGTGGTCAGACGTCCAGGAGTGTAAAAGCCCAGAGGTTTCAGAGGTTATTGTTGTGGGTTTTCTCCCATCAGAGACTTGAGGGGAAACCAGTTCACCTGTGACTGCAAACTCAAGTGGTTGGTGGAGTGGATCTCCAGCACCAACGCCACCGTAGACCAGATCTACTGTAAAGGCCCGGCCTCACAGCTGGACAAGAGGATCAACGATCTGGTGCCACAGTCCTTCGACTGCATCACCACAGGTGAAGAAGAACAATGTCAATGCTGCTGAGGTCTTTGGGTATTTTTTAAAATATACTAAGTGTTCTGTTGTTTTCTGTACCAGAGTTTAATGCGTACCAGTCCATGAAGTTTGAGTCCATTTCGGTGGAAGCCTTTTCCTTTGAAAATGACCAGTATGTGGTGTTTGCTCAGCCCTTTATTGGAAAATGCAGTTTTCTCGAGTGGGATCATGTGGAGATGGTCTTCAGAAATTTTGATGATATTGACAGTAAGTGGAAATTATGTTTAATCTTGAAGAATGTACTGTAAGTCGCTTTTTTGGGCACAGTAGGCTTTTGTACCAGTATTTGCTACTTCTGTACCACTGAAAATGTACATGTTCAATATTTTTACACTGAGTACCTGAACCTAAATCTGCAGAGTAGAAAATCCAGGTAGTAATTTCTTCTGTTTCCTTCCTGTTTCCCTCACCAGGTACCTCCACAGTGATCTGCAAACCTCTGGTCATTGACAATCAGCTCTTCATCATCGTGGCTCAGCTGTTCGGTGGCTCACACATCTACAAGCGTGACACGTCTGCTAATAAATTCATTAAGCTTCAGGGCATCGACATTCTCAAAATCCGAAAACCAAATGACGTTGAGACTTTCCGCATAGATGGGGAGACTTTCTTCGTTATTGCAGACAGCTCCAAGGCCGGTTCTACCACCATCTACAAGTGGAACGGCAACGGCTTCTACTCTCACCAGTCACTCCATCCTTGGTACCGGGACACTGACGTGGAGTTCATGGAGCTCTCTTCCAAGCCTCACCTGATCCTGTCCAGCAGCTCCCAGAGGCCCGTCATCTACCAGTGGAACAAAGGCACCAAGCTGTTTGACAGACGCACCGACATCCCAGAGATGGAGGACGTCTACGCCGTCAAACATTTCCAGGTCAAATCTGACCTCTTCATCTGCCTGACGCGCTTCATCGGCGACTCCAAAGTGATGCGCTGGGACGGGGCCCTCTTCAGAGAATTGCAGACCATGCCCTCCCGTGGCTCCATGGTGTTTCAGCCCTTTGCTGTGGGCAGTTGGCAGTACGCCATTCTGGGCAGCGATTACTCCTTCACCCAGGTGTACCGCTGGGACACCAAGAAGGGCATGTTTGTTCATTTTCAGGAGCTGAACATTCAGGCACCAAGAGCCTTCTCTCCGATCTCCATAGACAACCGACAGTTCCTGCTGGCCTCCAGTTTTAAAGGGAAAACTCAGATCTTTGAGCACCTGGTCATTGATCTGAGCAACTGAGTGATTGTTGTTGTCTCTATTTTTATTTGAACATTTAAAATGTTTGTGATTCTTCAAACTTTTGCAGCCATTGGAGAGCAGAACAGAACGTACTTAGAATATCCTATTTTTTTTGTTAAATCTTCCATTGAACTCAGTGCATGTCAATGTAAAAGACACATGCATTTCAACCAAATGTGCCAGGCTGAGATGCATGTTGAATTCAGTGCATGGATCTCAAGTTAGGATTATACCCAAGATGTTGTCAGGACAAGGTATGGGACGGGATGGTTTAGACAGTGATAATATGATGGTTTTGACAGACATATTCACGTGTGGTAATTTTGTCTCAAAGCTGGATGGTCACGAGTTTTCAACTACAGCCCAAAAACATGTTAATCTGGTCTTCGTAAACCACAAATATATTAGCGATGTCCGATAATAACCTTTATGATATCAGATATGCTGATATTGTCCAAACACTTAATTTTCCCATTCCGATATAAACCGATACAGATATAGGCCTGGTAATATTTAGTATGAGATTAATTAAATGAGCTGCAGTACTGCCATCTAGTGACTTTTACTGTAATATTCAGCCGTTAATCCCCAAAACTATTTTTAGGGCACACATCATTTGGTGAAACCCAGGGATTGCATTATCAGGTTTTCGGTATCGGAGAAAAAAACGAGTAATATCGGGCCGAAAATATCGGTCGGCCGATATGATTGGACATCCCTAAAGTATATATAATTGGTTGAATTATGATGAGGTGTAATTTGAAGCTGAACACATCTGGGTCCAACAGAAGGATTTTACAGCATATCTTTATGCATGGGTCTTTTTCACTGTCTACTCTGTTTCCTTTTTTTGTTCCAATAGCACACAGATTTGGGATGAGGTTGTAAAATGGACTCCAAATTAACTAAGGAATATCCTACTAGTTGTCCGTCCAGTACTCTGTCCTTGGTCGTCAGAAGGACAGTGTTGTCTGAACAGTAGAGACAGTCTCCACAACAAAAAGCACAACAGCCTCTGTTTTTAATTACTGTCCAATCCTCACGATACCCCACCCATCTTTGCCTGTTCAGTTAAAGTGAATAGGCAAAGATGGAAATTTGCAGTGAAGGTCTAACTCAGGAGAAGACCCCCTGCTGGGTTTAGACCCAGGGCTTCATGGTGGACGACAGATTTACTACCTAATGAGCTGTTAGTAAATAATCCCAAAATAAAAGTTCACAATGATTAGCTCATTGCAATTATTTGTTGCAACACTGCATGATATAAATCGTGTATCACCTCATCCCTAGTCGAGACATCCATGCATGACCTGGGCCTGATGAAAATCTTATGATGAAATACATTTATCATCCATTAACTCAGTAAAACTATCATCTGGTGAGGATTTTTTGTTCCAACCATTTTCCATGTAGCTCAACAAAGTTTGTACATTTGTAATCTCATATATATTTATCTACAGATATTAATAGGTGAATTTAAACTTTTTATCCAACTAATACATTTGACTGAAGAAATCTGCCAAAAACAAAATGTTTACATTTTTCTGTCTTTTCACTTGTTCACTAAGATTTGTAAATTAAGCTTTTTTGTAAGACCAAGAGGGACCACAGCAATTAGATTAATTTAAAAAAAAAAAATTTGGAGAGTGATTTTAGCAATTGAGATGTGCCAGAATCTGTCCTTGTGACTTAACGTTTTTATCATTTATCAACAGTTTGTACGATGTTTTAAGTAATGTTTAAAATACTAAAATACTGTTTTTTCATAGGTGTATGGAAACGATTTTAGACACACGTAAAACTATTTTCACATGTTTAAAATGTGCACTGAAAAATATGCGGATGTTCATAATGCTTTACCCACAACTAACATTTATGCAAAATCAAATGATTGTGTCATGATTAAATTATTTACTAACATTCTGTTTAAAGTCAATAAAGGTTTACATCAACATGACGATTTCCTCTCCTTTTTTCAGCTGTTAACAGACAAATTCTGTGTCATAAAATAATTAACATGTACTACTCCTAATGCATGAAAAATGGTGCCAATGTTATTGGCTGACAGAGTCACGTGGGGCAGTGTGGCTGCTTGACAGAGAGAACCGATCGATGCGTTTAAATTATTATTACTCACTGCGGGCAAATACGCATGCATCTTGTACTCGTTTGTAAACACTCATAATGCAGAGAGGCAGGGAGGAGAAGGCAGGAGAACCCACATGTCTCTGGGACGTTCTCATTTTCCATGATTTCCATGACTGACATGTTCGCATTTACTTTCAGTTTTTTAATTCAATGAAGATAGAAAAACACAGATAAAACTATGTTATACTGGTAGCAAAAACAAACATACCTTTTATGTTCTCGGATCATTTCCAGGTCGTTTTCATCTTTGTTTTTGGCAGAATAATTGTTCTTCAGAAGCTTCTGCAGCACGTTTGTCTGTTTACAGTCAAAATACGCATTAATATTGTTTTTAAATTTTCGGTGTGTATTTGTTTTCATTGACAAGACACGTGTTGACGAGGCTCGTAAAAATTTCCATTTGCAACCTCGCGCTTCCAACATCAAGCCCCGCCCACCTCGCCACCTGACTCCACACATCTAATCCAGTTGCAGCAATCGTGCTGCGTTTAAGTGTAACAGGGAAATACGGGATAAAAGCATTGTCAAGATGTTTCTGAGCATTAAATTAATGTGACGTTACTATTCAGTTATTGACGACATACCTTTAAACGATAGAACTTCACTTACAATTATGTTTACCATAAAAATATTTATTAAAAACCTAAAAAACATGTTTTGGTGTATGAAATATTAATGTTGTAATTTAATAGATGTGTTTTGATTAAAAACAAAAGACTAACGATGATCCCACTCATCCCATTAAGTGGGATAGCAGCATTAGCTTCTGTTAGCGTAGCATATTGTATTGAATCTCTAAGTCAAATCATTTTTGTATTGCAGATTGCGGTTTTAACATTATTTTAATACGAATATTGTTACATCTTTACAGCATTGTCGAAGGTGTACAGGTGGAAATTTCCAAATTAGATTTTTGTTGTTGTTGTAATGGAAACATTTGTGAATGATTTATCTCTCTTTTTATTTCTTATATTTTTATGAAGGCTTATTCCTGTTTTGATAACACCCTCTGGAATGAAGTAACCATCAAATGTTACGTTGACTATGACAAAGGAAACGGAATAAATACAAACAAATAAAATCTTTTATTTTCTCCAACAAAGTGCACGCCTCAATTCTACAAAGCAGCACATTACACTGTAATGGAATAAATACAATAATCCGCTGAATTGAAAAAAAAAAAAAAGAAAACCACAAGCGAGAAGATACACAAGTACCGGCACAATCACGCTGAAGCAGGATTTAGACAGGGTCTTTAGAAGGCTCCACAAACACACGTGCTCCTCGTAGGATGATTGTTTTACTCCTCATGCATCGTCGGTCCTTGGGCTGGATGTTTCCTTAGCTTTCTAAAGTGGACCCATTTAAACTCTGCTGTTTGTAATTGAGAACTCCCAAACTGACATGAAAGAATACAGGTGCATACTCTCATGTCCATACATTTCACCCTGGAAAACTTGTGCAATAGCAGCAGGACCTCCAAGTCACTGACTTACTGCTGAGAGAAAAAAATAAAATAAAGTGAACACATTTTCAGTTAGAACTGAAGTAACTACTCAAGTCTATGTGGTGCAACTTAGTGTTTTTTTTTGTAGGCAAACAAATAGAACATAAAAGGCAAGGGAACACATCCCTAGTATTTCACAAAATAATTTAGTGCTCTTTAAATAAAAGTAAAAACACTTGTCGTACGGTGGCTCTTAAAAAAAATGAATTAAAACTTTAACAAAAAAAAGCCACAGGCCAAAAGAATAATGCTCTAAGAGACATCCATTATATTAGGAAAGTCTTTAAAACAATGAAAAACAAAACAAAACAACATGGACAATTAAATTTCTGTACATGAAGCAAAATCAATGTACAATACAGTACCTGCAGATGTTATTCATACAGTACAATTCCGTTTTTTTACATAGTTATAGTATGGGCTCCAGCCTGATCTATATACCGACTTAACACAGGTGTAAAAGCACTAGTTGAGCTTTCAGTATTTTTTTTTAAATGGTTATTCAACGAGGAGAGTAGATCGTTTTAATAGGCATATAGAAAAAGAGACTGAAAACATTATTGCAGGATGGTCATCTTGAGTTGCATACTGCATGTGTTACATGAACGTGTCCTATGACAAGGAGCAGCGGGCCAATGAGAGAGGGGCACGGGACAGAGAGCTGGACGGAAAAAAAGAAAAGAAAAAAGAGGGCGGTTGTTGTTTTTTGCGATCTCTCTGCCACAGAGGTTAAATCTTGCGAGATCTCTCTGATCCACTACCCTGTACAGTACATTCATGGCTAGTATTGCACGTTACCAGCCGAGTCCACCCTGATTTTGCATGGTGAGGACCTTCAGTGCTGAATTTTTTTTTTGTCCCATAAGTCAACACTAATCCAGTGATGAGATGAGACCGTAATCAGAGTTCACCAGAGAACGACTGGGACTCCATCTGTCGTCACAGTTTGAGCTCGTTGGCAATTTTGCAGGCGATATTTTTGAAGGCGATGGATGTGCCCGATATTCTCTTGAAGCGCACGCCGTTGAGCGAAAGGCGGGGAAGCTTGCAGACCTCCATTTCCCACTGGACCAGGTTGTCCTGGCGGGCGTCGCCGTGGACACAGAAAAGCAGGAAGCGCTCACGTTGCTCGTAATCGCAGCTGTTGGCGTCCAGAACCTTGCGGATCTCCCTCATCATCTCAGCGGGCTCCATGGAGGAGGTGGTCTTCATGCTCCACGTGAAACGCAGCGAGCGAGGCTTGGAGTCCCGTCCGCTGTCCTCTTTAGAGTCTCCAGACACGCTCCTGCAGTAATGAAAGAAGAGGGACATTGAAGGAGGCAGAGGTCGGTTACAGTCGCTCTTTCTTAACGTCAATCCAAACCTCACCTTGGAGTCTCTGTCCTGGCACTGGCCTCCCCTTCACTGGGAACCCTGAAATAAACCAGGGATACACCGTTACTCCCTCAAGATGATTTTCACCCATATTTTCTCCCCCCTCCAACCAAAACCACTGCCATCAGCATCACTGGACACAAAGAAGGGCGTCAGGCTTCATGCCAGGAAAGATTCCACACTCCTGCGTATGAGGGTTCAGTGCACAATGAGGTGACTTTGACTTAACACATGGTTCCTTCACAATATCAAAATGCATCCCGTCGTCTGCTGTACTCCACCTTTCCTTAATCCCCGCTGATCTGACAGTGACTTTTTTTTTGATAATCCATTTTTTTCCCTCATCGTTCTCCTCAGTGCAGAGCGAGACACGGAGAGTAAGGAGAGGAAAGCCAGCATCCTGAGGAACAGATGTAGTGGCTTAGTACAGGAGAAGCTGGCGGGGCTGTTTGTTCTTAAAGCAGTGGGCACAGGAGAGGACACGGGGCATAACAGAGGTGTCAGTAGGCAAGGATGTAGTGTAGTGGGCAAGTATTTAAGAGGGTTAAGGAAACAGGGGCCAAGGTTGTAGTGGCAACAGAGAGCTTTGGATGTTTTTTGTTTTTTTTTGTTTTGCTTTGGACAACGGGGAAAGAAGTGCAGCAAGCGGTGTGTTCTCCTACCTCCGGGTTGACCTGAAAGACAGAGTTCTATGCAGAGAGAAAAGGAGAGAAAGCTGTGAGCCTCTACCAGACGTAGACGTCAGTGTGAAGGTGAAACTGGGGGCTACAGGTAAGGACAAAATTATCGGAAAATTGACTGAGATTGTGAAACATTGTGAATTAACTGAGACTTGACTATTCAGTTTTTAAAGTTAATTAACGTAAGCTTCATAAATGATGTTAGTTTGGGTTAACTAGTGGTCAGTACAAAAGTACTTTCAACAATAACTTTGTCCTCAACTGTAAATGGTGTAAAGAGGGTGAGACGTTGTCAATGTTTTCTTGTCATTGTGACAAAGAAGGGAAACACTGTGCAAGACAGATGATTCTATCTACTGACGATGTCTGTCTTCATGAAGTTAAAGGCAGGATGTGACGTGCTGGGTTTTTAAAAACAGCTACCTATCCAACCAGTGCAATAATTGTCAAATACCGTACAGTGTTTCATCTGTGTAGCTGTTCGTCTGCACTGACCTGCGCACAAACTTGGAGGTGATCTTGCTGATGATGCCTGTGGATGTGCCTCTGCGCTGCTGGGCCAGAGCCCCCGTGTCATGGGACAGTGTGGGCGAGGCTGGCGGGCCGTTGTAGGTGGCGCTGCGCCGATCTCTGAGTTGAGCTCCATGGAAAGTGCTGCGACTGGTGGTGCCACGCGGGAAGCGGTTCTTCTCAGGTGTGCTAATACTGTGTGCAGATGGAGAGGTGGAGGGACCCCGCGGTGAGGAGCTGAAAAATAAACAGGGGATTCAGAGATGGTACTGATCTGGACTCAGTGTGATTCACAGCCTTCATTAGGTGTTTTAATTAAAGAGAAGAAGCAGAGTCAGGATTAGGCTGCTCACCTGGCTTTTAGCTCTGTGTTGTCGTCAATAGGGGGCAGTGTGCTCTTTGAAGGATGCCCTGATGATGACATGGACTTGGTGTGGCGAGGTCGTGTGGAGCTCATTGCAGTCGATGGAGTGCTACCCGACACCTCAGTTAAACTAGGGAACAAGGACACAGAGTCAAAGGTCAAGTAAACTCTGTAACTGTACAGCTCTGAACTAAAATAAAGTATTTAGACACAGGACGTTGTCATCAGGAATATTACTGTAAGAAACCAGACAAAATGTGTTTAAACACAAACAATAACATGTCAAAGTAAATCCTTACTCAGACCTAACTTTCTGTCTTGGTCACTGTGACCGTGTTTACATTCACCTGCTGTCTTTGCCGTTGGGAATGGCTGAGTAGCGATCAGTGGAGGATCGTTCACACACGTACGTGTTCCTGCGAGTCATTGATCCGTTGGTCTGTGAAAGTAGTAGACATACAAATACAGATTTTAGAAATCCAATTAACAACTATTTACATTAGTCAGGAGTCACATTAAACCTATAATAAAGATTACCTCTGATCTATTGTTTTTTTATACTAATTGTACTTGTTAGTAGTAGCATTAGCATTTTCTATTTTTTCATTATTTTTTAGTAGCATTAGCATTTTCTATTTTTTCGCAAATACTGTTAAATATTTATTTTTTATGTGGCACCACGTTATTCTTCAGTCTAATTTTAAAAATTTAATCAGGACATAAGTGTTTCATATGAGTGAATAGCTCCCCCTACTGGAGGAAGCAGGGAAGGTCCACTGAGTTAACCGACACTGCATTTATGATTTCAGAGAAGTCTTCCTCATTTTTCTCACCCCCACAGCGCTCGTAGTTTTCTTCCTCTCCTGCACCCCTACAGGTGAGGCAGGAACGTCCCCTTTCGAAGTGCTGAGCTCTAGCCTGCGAGCTCCGTCCCACTCCTCCCTGTGGTCACTTTCCACACTCAGGGCCTGACCACGCTTTGTATACGACACCGCCGGGGGCACGGAAGGACCAACTAGGAGATATGAACACACAAAGGAGCGCATTAATGAGTGTTTTTTGCTAAAGACGTTTTACTTTGAAGCAATTTTTGAACAGACACGGATGATGTCTTAGAACGACAACCACAACTCACAGCCACTTCAAGCCATGATTGACACAGTTTGATTCCAGTTTGATGACTATACACTCCTGTCATACCAGTTTGATTCATGAGTTGTATGGCTGCAGATCCTAAAGCATGACACAAAAATGTTGTGGCCCTCCTCATGCTTTGAGGTGGTTACTGATGAAGCTGCAAGAAAGCAACCAGCCAGCAGGTGGCAGCAAACACAAAGGCCAACGTGACGTAGAGGGAAACTGCTACAAAACCAGTGCAGTGGTAGAGCTGTGTCACTGACTTAGAGTGAATAAACCATTTGCTCCATTAAAAGAATTAAATAGAAACGCTGGTAATTATAGCATATTTAAATTAAGAATACAGTTTTTTTTAATAAAAACAATGAAAATATTTAGGTTCTTTATCGACTCCAGTCAATTGAATAAATTCTTCAGTGCTTTGCTCACAAGCACGTCAGCAGGGCGGATACTTGACACCTGCTCAGTAACAAAAACAACTTCCCGCTACACAACGCGCAGCCTTCGCAGAGCTGGGAAGGACGAGGTTACTTTACTTGGCTTCTCTACGACACCACCACCACCATCATCATCCCCACCATGATCACTGTAGCGACGCTGCTTCTGATTGGCCGAGATGCTGCGTGTGACCTTAGGATGGGCAGGAGAGACGCTGGAGCCATTGTTGATGTCACTGGTCGGCCGCTGTCTCTGTCCTAAAACGCTGTTAGTCAGAGGCTCACTCCCCTCAAACTGAAACCCAAAAAAAAAAAAAATTTAATAAAAATTCTGAATGAGCAACAAGGGCGATGGTGTATTTGATGATGATGTCACAGTGACACAAATTGACCTCAGGTGCTTTTCTGCCCAACAGCAGGTAGGTGGCCATGACGTCATCGTACTTCTGGCCCTGTAGAGACTCTGTGATCTCATCCTTTGGGAAACCCATCGTCACCATGAGCTCTGATGGAAGACAGGAGTCAAAATTGATTAAATAAAGACATAGAAATGATTTAATAAAGCACTCAAACACACACACACACACAAACACACACACTGTGTGACGGACCTATTCTGGATGAATCACTGAAGTCTGCCTCAGGCTCGATGTAAGGTTTAAGCTCCTCCTCCTCATGACCCACATTCATCCAATGGTCTTTCATGATTTGCTAACAAAGAAACCAGACAATTATGAATTTTTAAGCCAAACACAATTATTTATGACTCATATCAACGACAAATCCAGCCTGAAATTAGGGAAACGTGTGAATGTGAAACTGGTTTGGATCAGAACTGTTCAGCTGAGGATGAACAACGATGGGATCCGTCTGGTGGAGAAATCTTTATTATTGAACATCAGACTGGTTCTGAGTACAGGGTTTATATCGACTACCAGTGAACTGCACAGTGGTGATTGACCTGATTGAATGCACCGTTTGCAAACATCACATATAACATGAAAAATGTGAAAACACACAACATAACTGTTGTTTATTATGCCTAATCACAAATTAGGCATAATTATTTAAGTGTTCCAATCAAATCTCAAATGCGTGACATTTCCTAACGTTGATCTTACAGGCTGTACAGACTGGAGGTTAATTAACATCAACAACAATTATGATTTTTTTTTTTACCTCCAAACTGCCTCGCTTCACTGGGTTGAGGACGAGCAGTTTCTTCAGCAGGTTTTCACAGTCGGTGGACATGTAGAAAGGAATGCGGTACTTTCCTCGCAGGACTCTCTCCCTCAACTCCTGCACACACACACACACACACACACAAATACAGATGAGTGAAACTCAATTAGCAAGAAAACAGCAACAAACATGAGTAAGGGTTTTGTCTTGTTCTGTTTTTTAAAACTTTGGATTTGAACTTTGGCAAATAACATAGCTTGTAATGATGGTTTAAAAAACTTGAGTGGCTTCTCAATCAGCCACAGAGTGAAAACAACTTTCCTTCACACTTTTTTCTCCAAAATCTTCAGTTATTAAAAAGGGTGCAGGGTTCTCTTCAAAGACTTTTTCAAATCAGTACACAGGGGAAATTCCACTTTTAATTTAGTTATAGAACTTCACCCACTTTTTAGTAGTTGCACGTAAACAACTAAACTCAGTTAGGAAAAACTGAATTTGTACCACGCTTACAAGAAAACAGAGTGGATCCAGTTAGTCTTGACATATTTCTTTCTGCCTTTGTCTTTCACTTGCCCTACCCCCTGTCCAAGAACAAAATCTTGAAAAAATGTTGAAATTCACAAACAGTTGTTAATCTTATAGGATAAAAAGTTCCACCCCAGAACTTGTCCACACCTTTAGATTTTGGCCGTCGAAGGGCAGCGACCCGCTGACCAGTGTGTACAGGATGACCCCCAAGCTCCAGACGTCCACTTCCGGTCCGTCGTACTTCTTTCCCTGGAAGAGTTCTGGAGCAGCGTAGGGCGGAGAGCCGCAGAAAGTGTCCAGCTTACTGCCCACGGTGAACTCATTACTAAAACCAAAGTCGGCGATCTTGATGTTCATGTCAGCGTCTAACAACAGGTTCTCTGCCTAAGGAGTGGAGAGAGAACGTGGAAGTGTGATTTACAGAGGCTGAACCACAGACATATTATAGACAGCAGTCTATGGGAAGGAGTCGAGAGAGAACGAGAGAATTCCAATCCTCACTTTCAAATCCCTGTGTACTATCCTCCTCTGGTGACAATACTGCACTGCAGACACAATCTGAAAAAGAAATACGCCAATCCTTAGACACTGTGAGTACAAGATATCACAGAACATAACATTGTGTGTGTGGCACATAGACAACATTACAACATAAATATTAACTGTCTGACATTGATGACGATTCTTTAGGCGAAAGATCTGGAGTCATAATAAAAATCACTCATGTTCTCGTACTGTATCTAGAGTAATAAATTGCCATCGTAGTGCTACAGTAATCTTAAATAAACGTTGACAAAACCTAAATAATGTGTGTGTGTTTCGGTGTGTATGAAATACATCAGCCACAAACAGATGCTGAGGCGGTTAACAGGCAGAAAAGGCAGTTATAAATAACGTATGTCTCAAAGTGTCAGTCAAAGACAAAACGTTCTGTTCTTTGACAGATGCCACCCACCATTGAGGCGTAAAACAAAACACTTCTACCTTTCCGAATGCTGAGCTGTTCACACACTGACACACACACACAGAGCCCACACACTGTCACAGTGAGTCATCTGAAACCATCGGTGAGTGATTTCTAACAGCTTGCGTGAGTCAAAAACTTGTTTGATGACTTGCCATTTCTTTAATATGGGAAAAGAAAATGAAGTTCCTAATTGTTTGTCATCATAGCACAGGAGTGAGCCCGACAGAGGACATTTAAACCCTTCCAATCGCTGCATTGGCAGCGCCACTAGGGGTCAGAAGAGCGTCTGTGAGAAGAGAGGCTCCGGAGAACCTTTTCTCTCAGGCCAAGCTATCTGAGCTTCATCTCTCTCCTCTGCAGTCAGTGACGAAAGCCGCAGCTTGGTGCATGCAGTCTTGCCTCTAAAAACAGTGGTGGGATGACGACAGAAGTGCCAGCAGAGGAATAAGTGATGACTCACCTGTCTGAACTTGGCCCTGGCCTCCTTCTCCTTCATTCTACCATGAGCCACAAGATAATCGAAAACCTCCCCTGGAACACAAATAGGAAATTCAGTTAAAAACAAATAGTGAATAAAAAAATCTGATGTTATTTTACTCTGCATTTTTGTCAGGTTTCTATAGTGGTCTGATGGCTAAAACTGATGGGTGGAGCTCTACGTGTTCTTGCATGAATTCACCAATGACAGTGCCATATTTCACTACTTAGCAGAAGCACTTGGAACTAAGTAATTCAAGTCAAAAGCATTGTTTTATGTCAGCAGAGCAACGAAGAGGTGGAAGATGGAAAACTCTATATTTAATCAATACACAAGAACGGCTTCAAGATTCTATTAATAAACCATGGCTGAAACATTGGTCTGCCAGAGAGAAAATGCATCACCTTTACAACATGTAAGTGCTGCATTGCTATATTCTGAAAGATTGTTCCTCCCACTGTATGTGGAACGGGAATGATTTGGTATAGAAGACAGCAGGGCAGTGAGACATTTACTGTAGTTTCTATTCTCTGTCCTCACCTCCATATGTTTTCTATGGATGTCTGCGATTTGACCAGTAAAACGTCCAGTCTATTAAAACTTTTTTTTTTAACCATAAATACAATTATTTTCCTAGTGTCTGCTCATACACTTTAACAATTCACTATGCTTCTAATATAAGTGCAAATCTAAAAACAAAACTGAACCATTTGTAGTTTTTAAAAATGTCAAACAACGTGTAGTAATGAGTTACTAACCACCACTGGCGTACTCCATAACCAGGTAAAGTGTCTTCTCCGTTTCGATCACCTCAAACAATTTCACTGTAGTGATGACAAACAGAAATACGTTAGAAAGGTCATATTATTTGGATATTTTGAAATGAGCTCACTATATGAAAAAAGAAGACAACAGAATAATATTGTGACATAAGAGGATTAATGTAATTGTCACTAGTTCACTTTCATTGTCAGGTCAAGCAACAAGTTGGGCCACTTTGGCCCTGAAGTAGGTGTGACTGTCGACGTGCTGCTGCATGTTCCATTCTGAACTCACCTATGTTTGGATGATTCAGTAGCTTCATTATTCGGACTTCCCTGAAGAGCTGTGGAGACACAGAGGGACGTTAACCCACCAACAAAATGTCAAACATCACTCATCAATGTGATGTTGTTTAGTCAGAACCAACTCCAAAATGTGTTTATTTCATCATTATATGTTGTTATTGTGGCATTTTAGGTGTCAGGGACTGGGGGATCAGAGAAGTACTGTGCTCTGTAAAGGAATATTATGTATGCAGTAACAGTGACTAAACCCTGCCCTACACTGCAGTCTAGCCAGCTGACCAGTCCGCCATCCAAATAGCCAAGGCAACAACGCAAAGCACTGCCAGCCTCTGCAGAGTAGCAGTAAACAAGCACAGTGCTTGCCAGTTAGACACTGGCCGCCCCAACATAATCAACTTAACACAAGCATGCAAAGAAACAGCAGACGCATCGTATTGATTCCTGCTTGCTGCTGCAGTCCTGGAAAATTGTTGCAGAACTTCAGGTTGACATTTGACTAAAAGTTGCTCTACTGCAGATGGAAAACATTCCGGGAGAAGCCCCTGCAGGGGCAAATCTGTGAGCAGGGCACACGCAACAGCTGAGTGAGAGAATGAAAGGGGAGCATTCAGAGTTTTAATCAAAACCTCGTCTCATCCCATCGTCTGAGCTCCACTGTTTGAGTCAGATGCACTCCAGCAGCCACTTAGAGGTGCTGTTGAATCATTTACATTCTGCTGGTTCCCAGTCTGGCTGCAGGGGCAGAGTTTGAATTTTAAAATGTAACACTTATGTGACAGTTGTGTTGTAAAATGGTTACAGTTTTTCTTTCCACCTTAGGGAATTTTTGAACGGGACAACTGACATTGACAAATGAAGAAATTAGTCCACATTGTGACTGAAAATGTAGGCGGGATATTAGGTTTGAGTTTCTGGGTCATCTGAGGCAGATGTGTGAACAGGTCAGACTGTGTGTGAGCTCACAGTTTAACTGCAGGTACTCTCTCGCCCACTAATTCCTTGTTCTGTTCTGTCTCTACTTGCTCACCTGACTCTCTTTGTCTCTCTCTCTCTCGCTCTCTCTCTGACACCTCACCTTAATTTATTAAGCCCTGCACACACCTCTACACACACAAAACGTTTGTTTTTTTTCCCAAGAACCGTATTTAAGAAATGGAGGTAGTTTCAGGTTGCAAATGTGAAACTCCAGAAACAGACTAGAAGCTGCTCCGGTGGAATTCTGATAGTGACGTGGTATAAATAGAAGTGCATGTGGAGGATGGGCTGCTGCTTCCTCGATATGACATCAATAACCTTGTTTCCTCAAACAAGGTTAAGGCCTTGACCTCGAGATCTGAGTCATATGAAACGGGAGGTCTATTCTCTAAACTACAGGGGAAAAAAATACAGGGAAAATACAAAATACTACCAACAATTTTTTGTTATATTTGGATGTTGATTAATCACAATTAATCAAAATTAACCCCTATATACACATCAGATTAAAAATTTTACTGTTTGACTTCTTTTTTTTTATAACACAAATAATGGCCACATGGTGGAGGAGGTGGTAAGCAATTGCTCACCACCTCCTCCAACAGTTGCTTCCTAAACCAGCAGGCCTCAGTGATTAATTTACTTCAGCCTCCACCATATATAAATACTCTACGCCAGTATCAAATATTACCGCAACATTTGTCACATAGTCCGTTACGGGGTAGGGAAGTAGGTTTGGTTCCTGCTAAGACAACGCCTGTGTCGACAGGACCAGTTATAGAGCTCATCATTCTGTGTCATAGGGCTCCATTGTTGTCCAAAAAGCATTTAGAATGAATTGAACCGTCACACACTGCAGCACTGGGTGACATCTTCAACAAACATTAGCTCTGTTGTCTCCACATATACTGTCTGCTGGTTAAAGTATTCACTAAGGAATCCATGACGCTATTTGAAGAGCATTATTTTTCAGTGTGTTTAAATGCTCGTCTGAGGGCCAAAGACACTGGAAGGTCAGGTTGTAAAAGAATGAAAGATTGTGATTTTATGAGCAGGTGAAATACAAATTTACCAAGAAAAGTGTGAGTATTTTCATTTCTTCTACCAACTGCACTGGAGTCTCACTGTAAAAACAATACTATCATATTGTAAGGTTTTATAATTATAATCATTGACTACAGGACCTTCTATCTGCAAGATAATCTGTGGTTTAACTGCTACACTCACCTTGAGGTCGGTATACTAACTTAGACAAATATGGGTTGGATAAATAGATAAATACACAGATCAGTTCACAAAGCATTGTCTACATGTATTATTCTATGTATACTTCCTAAACTCACTGCCTCTCTCTTTCTCTCTCTCTCTCTCTCCAACTGTGTCTCTCATTTGCGTCACTGCCCTAAAGGGCCTCACATGGGAAACACGCGTGCAGCCACTTGGAGACAGAAGCACACAGAACACATCGGAGAAGTGCTGTTAAAAAAAACCCAACAGACAACAGCAAATACAGTGGCTGCCAATAAAAGCTCAATAGAACAGTGGTCTCCACAGAGGCTGAGGAGATAAGGAGTCTGAGGTATCTGATCTAGTCTATCTGTAATAATCAATGACGCCGACAGGTACAACATGGCTCCAAGGTGTGGTTAAAGGTGTCCTACTCAATATTACCTCCATATACACAGTGTCGGACAAAAGAATGGACAGGTACGAATCACACCCAAGCAACCAAAATACCAGGAGCTCACTCTTAATGTTATATGTAAATTTAATATTTTAGAATATTTTTATTTTTATTATTTTGGCAGTTATCCTTGATTAACACATTTACCTAAAAATGTTAACAAATAAAATTCATTACTTCAGAAGGTCAATCACATTGTTGACGCATATTACAAATAATATTAACTAAAATAAGTCGATGTTCAACTGGGTTTTGTGGAGACCAATGACACTGCAGATTGAATTCACTTTAAATGCCATGGTCTTGTGATTTTAAGGAAGTGGTTCAACATTATTGTTCATCATATACATGTATGTATAATCCTTTACCCACCGTACAGGAGAAACATTTAGCTCTGGATGTTGTGACTAATGAGGACCCACGGCTGTAATTCCTCCACAACAATGTTGCGACAAATATTTAATAATGCACTTTTTTAATCCAAAAAATAACAAACCAGACAACTATATACTTGCCCTTAAACTATTTTAAAATGTGCTGTGACACAGTCAGTCAACTCCAAATTTTATCTTGTAATTTTATCTAAATAAATCCCATTCGCCTGATCATATTTCACAGTACCATCTTTTGAAAACTTTTTTAAAAACATTATCCTGATTTCATTATATCTCATATTACTGTTGGAAATCACACACATAAAAAACAGATAATTTCCAATGTGCCTGCTTCTTGGTTGTCTGTGCCAGTGACCTACTTTCTTTAACCCAGGGGCGCCCAGTCTCCCCAACTCGCCGTAATTACAGCGGGAGGAACACAACGGCAGATATCAGTCTGGGAGCATTTACAGGAACCGGCTGGACTATTTCAGTCACAGCACCACAGTCGCTCAATCAGCATGAACGTCAATGGTAGGATGAGTAGTCTGGCAGCTCTTGTCTGCCTAATAAGTGTATTGGTATAAACTGGGCCTCATTTTACCTCCTATGAGTAAACAATAAGCTCCACTTTTTGTTTGTCATAGAGAGAGAATGAAGGACAAACCCAGACAGACTGAAAATCACTGACTTTAAGGAACACACGACTGCTCTGTCCTGTCTAGACTATCACTGTAGTGTTAACATACAACATGGTACAAATAAACTTCCTACTTTCTTTCCTGTTCCTGTACAATAAGAGCAGTTCTGCTCTGTGGGTAAAATGAAACTGTATGACAACTATTTATATAGGCCATGTTATCTGGCTCATTAGCATTTCTGTTGTTTCTTTAATGATAATACTGCAGCTGTGTAGCTTAGCCTGGGTTTCTACAAGAGCATTGCTTTTGCTGTGGAGTAAGTAACACTTATATCCTCTCACAGAGAAGGGTTTTGTTCTTGAATCTATTTAAAATGTTAACTTTTACCAAGCTGTTTTTTTCTGTGCTCCAAAAAGTATGTTTATTCGTTAGCTAATGTCTCTCTCTAATGTCTCTTGCTAATAGATAATGTCTTTGTCTAATGTTGTCGGGTTCATTCAGCATAAAAAAGTGAGCACCAAGCAACTTTGGGAGCCATCTTTTGTTAAATAGTACTTCTCCACATAAACGTGATATGCAAATCTGTTGCCACAAAACCTAAAAGCTAAAGTGAGTAGCTCACTGAGTGAGGGCAACATGGAAACTTAAAGAAAGAACAGCAGTTACCACTGGAATCAAACAGATGATTTTCTTGCTGTAAGGCAACAGTGCAAACCACTTCTTTCCCTGTCTGGACCCCAGCATCAACATTTTATTAAAACGATCTTTTACCAAAAACAGTAGCTCCGTGTAATGACATAAATACACCCTACTGAGTCCAAAACTCTTCTAATCCCTAAAGCTCAATCGCTTTTCCACTGGATAATACAGAGTTACAGATGGAAAAAAGACAAAAGGTGGGCTTTTTACCACTGCCAGACACTACTGCACATACACAGTCACACCAGGTAGCTCCAAAGGATCGCCAACTATTTCCTCAACCTCAAGATTACACTCAGATGAAGTGCTTATGTGGTTACTCCAAAGGTTTGTCCTGTGGTTTTCTTCACGTGTTTCCGACATTATACCCTGACGCCGCTCACTATAACTATCTGTTTTTCTGTCACAAAAACCAAACTGATCTGCATGTTTCTCCATGTTCACGTATCAAGCACAAGATTTGTTATCATTGCCAGAATGATGAAAAGAAGAAATTCCAAGTGAGGCAGCGATGGGATTGTGGGATGAGGGCAGTGTTTGCGCAGTGGAACAGAAGGATTAATGCAGGGGCCTATTTTAGGGCTCAAATGCCTAAAAACCATGACAACGTCAACATCCCTGACCACTGACAACTCGTGATGCATTTCCTGTGGCAGATCTAAGGAGGTGCTTTGGAATCTTAGCTGACCTCGTTTCCTGTTACACTGAAACCAACACAAAGTCGCACCAGGCCAGAAACGATCAGAGGGCCATAAAGGAACATAGCAGGGCTTCATTCTTACTTCATGACTCATTTTGGTCTCCATTTGCCTCATTTAACACTGAACCAAAAAGAACAGACTGATCAGACTCAGAAGGACTTCGGAAAGCAGGTGATGATGACGCCTGATTCTACAAGACTCAGATTATATCCATGCAGCGGCTACATCTGATCTCACTGTCACTGTGATGTAACAGCGTAAATCAAAGGATCTCCTTTGCACAGCGTGTCATCGTGTGCGGCGGTGATTTAGTGTTTGTTGCCATGCGGCTGTATGAGATGTGACAGAGCGCTGACTGTGCCTACAGTGCCAGATGGTGTGCCCACTGGCTGAGACCATAAAAAGAATTAGAAGTTGCATTTTGACAGGAAAACATAAAGAAAAAAATTTTCACAACATAGTTACCTGCACAAAAAATGAATAAGTACTATTAGTTGAAGAGTATTAAATGTGCAAATGTCCAAAATGAGTAAGGAGAAAAAGATCAACCAGAGGATTTTTAACCTCTGATCTTCATGGACATAAAAGTCCTGAGTCACTGCGTCAATAATCACTCCCTTTTTATATCTTCGGCCAGAAATAATCTGCTGCCCTATGCAAAAATGGCATCTGTCAATAGGAAGATTTACATAATTAGTAAAGGAGAGTTATTGTACAGATCTGAGACATTCTTTCACAGAAAAATGCAGCTAAATTAAATGCCAACATTAAATTGCCCTGAAATTAAATAATCTCGAGATCACATGGGACTAACTATTAGATTTGACTTAAAAGCACTTCAGTTTAAATACTGAGTGAATGTAGTTAGGAGGGTAAAACGATACCTTTGTGAAATATTCATTCTTTGGCAGAGAAATAAGACTATGTTATGCATCTGATAAAGGTTGTTGTTAATTTTTTTTCCTGGATATGATTCCAAGGTCAGGGCAGTAACCAAGTAAATGCTGTATTAGGGCTATAATGCATCCATAGTAGAGCTTTCACATCACATAGGACACTCTGAGTCAATGAGAAAATCGATTCAGACCAGGAGACTACTGGTGCATTATTAGACCGTCTTCTGCATTGCAGATGACACGTCTGTATACCATTACAGTAATCCATACAGTACAGAGCAGAGGACGTTTAAATCTTTGCCCACGCATGAGCATCACATTCAGCCAAATGTACATGAATGCACAACCACATCAAACACGATAAAGAGTGCGTGCAAGAGTCCACATTCACGCGCACGTACAATAATAACAACCCACATTCATCATAAGAAGCTGTTAGTCTTCTTCACGATGACCCTCTCATGTCCGCTGCCTCTGACATCTGAAAGGTCCACTGAATAATTGATCAGAAAGATCCTGATTGGTCTGACTTAATACATCTGCCCCGACGCCTTCATCGGTACACAGTGGAAAAACCTACCCATCGTGTACGCAAACTGCTCATTAGGACCTAGACGAGCACCCGGCCGGTAAAAGCCAGGGTTGATAACCTTTAAATCTGTCCCTGCAAACGCAGACACACACATACCTGCTGCTGTCTGTAGCAGAAATATGTATGAGTGCAGTCAAATCACAGCCAGATGTTTAATTAGAATCCTGTCTCTGTCAGTACAGAGAAAAAATGAAAATGACTTCAGTAATTAGACATATCAGGTTGACGTGTTAGTTGTTAGCAACATTTTGGCAGATGTTAGTCGTAGCGATTCAAATCATTATATCAAGAAAGCTCAATACTGCCCCTGTCCTACTACAGGTAACTTCTATAGTAATTACAATTTTTCTGATTGACATGTTAGCCTATAGCTAGCAGGCAAGTGTGTTAGATCAAAGAGTTCTAAGATACTTCTGTAACCGGAGTTTCCATACAGGACTTGGGGGAAGGTCTTTCAGACAAGGTCACAGCTGCTCCTTCGCCTCCTCCATTTAAGGCGGCACGTCAGTATTATGTTGTAATTTAAGAAACTTCCTGGGCATTTTTATGTGTATGAATACAAATGACATGTTTACATGTATTCCAGAAGTCCAGCTCTAACTCAGACTCAGACTAACGCAATTGTTTTTTTATTAGTTTTTCTCTTGTGTTGTGCAAACCTACTGAATCAAATTTAACCCAGTCAGACAGTCAGAGTATGGAACTGAAAGCCTGGAAATATCAAAGTATTTTTGTATTGATTGGCTAAAGAAATGGGATTGGGTTGGATTACGTTCTGATTCAGTTACAGATATCACACAGGAAGAGCCAGTGATAAATGTACTGTCTACAAAGCAGAGAACTAACGACAACCTTAGACCTACCCACAAGTACTATTTCTAGTGCAGCAGTTGCCTGATTAACTTCAGGTCTTTACGGTGATCTCCATCACTGACATGCCTTAATGTGGAGGAGAGACACAGCAGCACCTTCTACTGCCTGATTCTACTGTGAAATATGATTCTTGTTAAATTTGTTGCATCGTTAAAATTTAGTAAGTGTGCAATTTTATGTCAATATGTCAAAGAACATTAAAGGTTTTCTAGATAATTCTCACATTATCTAGTAGCTCTAAGTCTTGGTTTTTTTTAATGCTGTTGCAGAAACACCTTTTTCTTCCTTTACTGATTCTCCAGGGATCGATCAGGTATTGCAGTCTTTGAATTTCTCTCCTCCAATCCTTCATAAAACCAATACTAATCAGATACAAGGTTTTTTTTATGGGCAATTAATTGCCGTAATTTGATGACTGCGTTGCTGACAGCAGCAAAACAGCATGTTCTCATTTCAGTGGTTTGTGGTCAGACAGAGGCAGAGAAGATCCATCAAGTCATCAACTGCTATTTATGTAGCCGAGGTGTAGCAGTCCATTAACAGTGTCTGACAAATGCTACGCAATTTGTTCATGCATCGCTATAAAACAATAAAAGCAAAATGAAAAGAGCAGCAGCAGTTAGTTGTGGTGCAAAACTGACTGACTGACTGACTGACTGCATGACTGACTGATTGACACGTGACCATGTATGGGGCTCCTGCAGGTCTGTGCTCCACAGCACACCTGCATAATTTATAAATGGACAGACGATGATGCGGGATCAAAACATTGCTGTGACTGCTTTTCAAGGTCCACTGTGAGGATCGTGTGGGTAATCAGCAAAGAAGAGCCTTTGGTCTCACCGTTTATTAACAGTTCGAAAACTCTTTGTCGTAATTGGTTTTGACGGCTAGGAAAGGTTAAGTGACAAACATGCAGGCAGTGGTATTTTTAGCTGCTTCCAACCACAAACTATCAGAGAATGGAGGGGGGAGGGGTGGGAGATTGGGGGGGACTAAACATGCCCCGTGGTCCCTGCTGACTACATCTGATTACATTATATAAAGGCAGCACATCCACAGTTCAAAGAGTAAACAAACAGAAGAGCACCAGAGGAGTTGACTAACAGGAAGTATGACGAGGGAAGTTTAACGTGACCACTTGGCCATAAAACAGAGACTCACCTTCTGTAGACTGGTGGGATTCAGCTGGGTTTTGTCTATAATCTTCACCGCCACCTAGAGAGAGGAAAGATAGGAAAACAGTCAGAGGAGGCGAGGCGGTGGGGGGAGGAGAAAAGAGGAGGAATAAAGACAGAAAAGACAACAGGTCAAAGGGCAGTTGCAGTTTTGTTTGTGTTTCAGTCCTGATGCAAATCCTGTGCTCATTACTCCATTATTCTGCTGTGGAACAAATGCCAAAGTAAAGTGCTCTTCTCCACAGGAGAACCTTTGAATCGTGCACATGAACAAGAAAAGACAGGAATGTAAAGTATCTTTTTTGGTAACGATGAATAACAGAGTTCTGTTCTTCTCTGCACAGAACAACACCACATGGCTGTAGCAGACCGTCTGGGCGAGGCAGCTGAGCTGCTGTTCGTGGGTATGACTCTGCAGGTTGGCTCAGCAGGTGCTCTCGGAGCAGTGGTCTGAGCAATCCATCTCAATAATCTGCCCAAAGTGCAGAGTGAAACAGACCTTCTCCCCTTCTCCCCTTCTCTTTCTGACAGCTCAGCAGCTTTCTCAGAGCCAATAGCTGAGCCGTAATGCAGCCTCACCAGTCAGTGCTGACGACGACTGACCAGCAGCTTTACAACATAATGTAATGATGACGGTGAGATAAATCAAGGGCCTTTGTTGTGGCATGCTCTTAGTTATCATGATATTATGGTAATATTAGGTTACTGTTGAATGGCCATGAAAACATAGCAGCAAAATTCTTCTGGAAAATTCAGCCACAGAGATGAGGAGACTGATGCTGTTAATTAAAAAGGTTTGTTTTTTTTTCATCAATATCAAATAAACAAAGCACAAAATACTAATTGACAGTTAAAGTAAATACTCTTCATT